TGACGGGAAGTCGAAGGCTCGTCGGTCCTGCTTGACCAGGAATTTTCCCAGTACCTGGACTCTTGGGCAGAGCTGTCAGCTTCCTTCTCCTCGTACAAAATGTATGACTGAGCTCTGAGGAGGAAAGTGTCCAGTGTGGCAGGGGGTTGGAGACCTATAGCTTTGGCAAAGTCTGTGCGGGGACGGCCCGCGTTCAAGTAGGAACCTTTTCATTTCATTAGTGGTGGAAACTTGGACGACCTCCTTATTAAACCTTTCAATGTAGGCTCGCAGAGGTTCGTGTCTGCCCTGAATAATGGCCTCGAGGGAGGCTTCGGTCTTCGGATGCCGGTGAGATGTCGTAAAATGTCTGGAAAAGAGTCTTCCCAGTTGCCTCCACGAGGTGATGGAGTCGTACAGGATCCCTTTGTACCAGGTCATTGCCTATTTCCTGAGTGTGGTCGGGAATAATCTGCATTTGATGACGCCTCGAACGCCGCGATAGTCGAGCAGCGTATCAATGTTTTTGATGTGTTTGTCAGGGTCAGTTGTCCCATCATATGTGCCTAGAGAAGAGGGCTTCTTTAGTCCTTTTGGGAGGAGCATGGCTATGATTTCTTAGGACAATGGGCTGCGAGGGTCATCGTCGCTGCTGCTGTCGGTCCAGGAGGGGGAACGTGCGTTACGTTCGTCGGTAGAACGGTGGTCGCGTCGCGGAGAGGGGGTTTGTGCTCACCCTCTAGATCTGGGCGATGAACGTGGAGACTTCACCATATTTTCTCTTCGGATCCTCTTAGGCTGCGGGGACTGATGGTTCTTAGGAGAACGCTGGCCACATTTGCGGATGGCCACGATCTCCAGTTCTGGCGGTGTTCGACGATTCCTCTCGCGTCGAGGAGGGGAACTCTGTTGCAGTCTTTCTTTCCTTGGTGGGGGGGATCTTGGACGACGGGACTATTCCAAGGCTTTAATTCTTTCACCCTGGTTGAGGATGAGGATGTTGGTTTTGTTGAGAACCTCGAGGAGGGCCGCCATAGTCGGGTCGGCATTGGGCGGAATAGGGACCGACGGGTGTTGCTGGTCGAGCGGGACTTCGCCGTGATCAGCACGGACATGGGATGGAGAAGCAGTGACTCCATCTCTTTGTTGGAGAATGTCGGCGGCATGAGAGGTGGAGGCCCGTTCAGCGTCAGCCTTGCTGACGGTAAGGAAAGCAGAATTAGGAGCATCGAGATGGTTGTCACGGGAAGCCATGATCAGAAAGTTGAAGAAGTGTTTTGGTATTTGTGTCTACGAGAGAAGAAAAGACGGGGATGAAAGATTCCCACAAACGGCGTCACTGATCTTATCGAACGATCAGAATTTGATATGGGCCAAAGACGAGTGTATGCGATGCTGGGTGTGAAAGAGGAGGAGGGGGTGTACCTGCAAGGCACTCCGATGTTAAAGTAAGAAAACGAGCAAAAGAGCGAGCAAGTACAAAATATGTGTGTTTAGGTAAGAAATTGGATACTTGACCCTCTTAAGTGATAGGGTTTTTATAATGCCCCCAACGCTTGGTCATTGGTCCCTATTTTTAGAGCGAGATAATTGTTTCCTGAAGAATAGGTAACTGCCAGAAATAGCCATTGAAACGGGCATCCGTGCCCATAACTAGCCGTTGTGACGGGCAGAGGCAGAGTTTGGACACAAGTGTCTTGGCTGTTTCTAGATCCTGGAACAGTGCGAGACGGACAGAGATGGACGGGGAGCAGTGTTGTGATCAAGGGTAAATAGGTCAGCTTCCCCTGTTAGAGGGGCAGAAAAGTAAATTATCCCCCTACGAGGTTGGACTTAGACAATTTGGACCGTTCTAGGAGCAGAAGTGAATTTGACCATACCTAATCATTGGGGCAGTTCGGAACAACACCAAACTCCACGAATTCAAGTTCAAGAAAGCATGTTTGGAGAGATACAGTATTTTTATTTTTTGTTTAAACCCTAATTTTTAAAATAGATCTATTTTAAATTTTATTAAATAGAAATTTAGAGAGATATGTTCTAATTCCCCATCATTATAATTATTAACTAAATCTCTTTTATTTCACCATAAAATCTCATTCTCTTTCGAGCTTCCTCTTTCAAACTTCCTCATTCCATGTTTTTGTATTTCTTCTTTTTCTCTGTTTTTCATCTCTTTCTCTACTCTATATATATATATATATATATATATATATATATATATATATATATATATATATATATATATATATATATATATATATATATATATATATATATATATATATATATATATATATATATATATATATATATATATATATATATATATATATATATATATATATATATATATATATATATATATATATATATATATATATATATATATATATATATATATATATATATATATATATATATATACTAAGTTTTTAAACACTTGCTACATTAGAAGCAACACCTTTGAAGAATACCACCAATGAGGAGATTCCATCTAATGGAGTTATCAATTCAAATACAGGTTTGCTATCTTGAACAGTGTTTTTTTATACGGTGAACAGTGTTTTTTTAATTAAAATAATATATTTTTTTAAAATATTAATTTTTTAAAAAAATATATTTATTTTTAAAATTTATTTTATAACACAAATATAAGATTACGCATTAACCAACTTCACAGATGCATTAACCACAAAAATTTACATCATTAACCAATTATTTTACCTATAATTTATTAACCACTTTCACTACTTCATTAACCAATAAAATACATACCATTAACCATGTTCTAATCATTTTTTTCATATATTTATAAACAGTAAATTTGGTGTAAGTTAGGTGTAAGGTGTAAGAAAAGGTGTAAGAATAACATTTTTCATTCAGATATTAGGACGGAGATATTAGGACGGAGTTATGAAGAGTAAAGAAACAAGAAAATTATTATTACTTAAAAATAACAGTGACATGAGTAAAGAAAGAAGAAAAAATTATTATTATTAAATTAAGAGTGAACAAAGACGAGGATGAGATGTAAGAAATACTTAATGAAGTGAGAAACACATGAGAAAGTAAGAAGTAAGAAACACATGAAGAGTTTTCTCGGTTAGGGAAAACTAGGGGAAATTACAGAAAAATTCCTCCAACATTAATTCTTTTTAAGGGTAAATATGGTTGTTCCCAGTCAAAACAGATAGCAGGTTGTAACCCGCTCTGAGCCGTGGTCCGCTCCCGTGACTCACTCCAAGCCAAAAAACAGTCGCGATCTCAAACTGAGACACGGACTGCTACGCCATAGCAGCTGGTCTCCGCGCGCCGCTATCTATAACTTTGTAACATATGAAAATATACATTCCGTTAACATGGATGTATACACTATTTTAAAACAGTCTTGAATACATGATTTATGGTTGGTTCAAGCGTCCTCCTTTGTTTAAACTTAGGATGTGCAAGTGGAATATAATAAAATAAATTTGAATTAAATGTGAAATTTTATTAATTAGCATGATCTACATGATAAGAACAGTTAATTTAAACCTAGAAAGAAAGACCATTCAATATAAATGACTTTATAGATGAAACTAATCAATATGATTTGAGATATCAATCCAAGAATAATTTCTGCCCAAGTTATATGTTTTGCTTTAAGGATCTAAATTTTGAAACCGCGTCTTTCTCTTCATCACCAATACCTTCCCCATTAGAAGCTGCTGCAGTTCCCTCTAATAGACAAGTAACAGTCTCGCAGAAATCCTCAATGAAGTCACTCCTCTGCATACAGAAGAAGAACAGGCCAGTGAAGGATGTTACTTTTGTCTAACACAGGTTTCTTTAACCCAATAAGTTCTATACATTGCCTTTCCAATCTTCAAGCCTCTATTTTCCATTGCAGAAACAGGTTCCTGCACATCTTTTGTTCAAACAAGTACATTAGTCTCCCTCCACATTATTTAATTTTAAAGTTACATAAGAAAAACCAGTGTTGTTAATAGCGGCTAATGTAGCACCAGCATTTTTTATGGAAGGTGTCGATATCTGACACCAACACATGTGATTATTTAGCGATTAGCTTCATAGGCAGCTATAGCAATATAACATAGCAGAATTTAAAGAAACGGCTATTGTTCTAAATATATTATTGAATACAAAAAATTGTCAAGAAACGGTTATTGTTCTAAATATATTATTGAATACAAAAAATTGTCAAATAGAGTGTAGAGGTCTATAGCACTCTTGCATGCACAGAATTTGAACAAACGGATAGTTTTTACAACCGACAACACTAAAGAAAACAGATAAAAGCTTTATACCTTTGCATCTGCGACAGCTTTAGAAACTTCATGAAGACCCATCTAACAATAGTCTTGTGCTTCATCTAACAAATTCAATGAAAGAGATGCTTCGAGGTGTGTCTTAAAAACAAATAGAATGTGTATATTTGATACGTCTGGAGATGTATCTCCAAAAACTAAGAGCATTTTTGAAATTTCGCTTGGTGTATTCAAAACATATAGAATGCTTTAAGAAATTTTCTTTTTTTAAATAAAGATTAAAAAGTTATCAAAATGGATAAGTAGATTAAACTGCATTCAAACTTTTTTTTAAAGACGTCTTAATTACATGCATTTTAATATTTTTGAGTATCTGTGTATAGCATAGCAAATCCTCAGAATTATAGGGAATTCTACGTGTTAAAAGCATTGCATCTGTTTGTAACTTAAAAATCTGAAACCAAAGCTCTTATATTATATTATACATCTACCCAAACAGTCCAAGCTAGATTAAAGGAGAGAGGAAAAAAAATACATTCAAGTGAAGTTTCTCCAATTCTAGCACTATAATTGAGACAACTAGGACAGCCTATATTGACTTGTCAAACAATTGAAATTAACAAGTAACTCTGATAGAAAAGAAGTCCAAAATATGGAAGAAACATGTGCCCGATCTTCAAAACTTCCTGATTGAGACATTAACTCTTGAATCTAATTACTGCAAATCATGTCAGATTGTTATTGCTTCTTTCATACACTTGGAGGAGCCCACTTTCCATCTTTGAATTTGCTATAAAAGCTAGATTTCTTAGAAACAACATAGAAGACTGCAAATACAACATAGATAGTTAGATGAAACTATGAACAGAATAAATGGAAGAAAAAAACAATCACTTTTAATGAACTGCGTTTCACCTGGGATCTCAGGAATGATGAACGTAGACTCTTTTAGAACATCGTGGAGTGTTCTCCTTTCATTTACTTTGATCCATTTAGGGGAGCCTGATGAACATAGAATAGAAGATCATGTCGCATACAAAGTTTGAAATAAAAGGCAAGTAGAGACAAATGGGTGCTATTTCAACTAAAAAAAATAGAGTAAACAAAAATTTACACAAAATGTTAAACTTAATGTTAATATTAGTTCAACAAAGATAGATACATGCGTCTACATTCAGTTATTTTCATGTTCTCAAATGACTATCAAGGTTAGTATTAGGTTGCATTCAGTGTATGCAGAAATGTGACTTGCTGGATTGTATGCAGTAAATTTGACGAATTCAAGTTTGGGAAGCATTCTATCTTTCTTTCGTTCCAATTACCATCCATTAAAACCTTCCAATTACCTATATATATATATATATATATATATATATATGACTATAAATGAAGTTATCACTGCTGAGGAGATCACATCTAAGATTTAGCCTGACTCACATATGACTATAAATGAAGTTATCAATCTAAGATGAGTAAATTATTATTACTTATAGAAAAGTGAGAAGAGTAAAGAAAGAAGAAAAAATTATTATTATTAAATAAAGAGTGAATAAAGAAGACAATGAGAGGTAAGAAATGCGTGAAGAAGTGAGAAGAGGAATGGAAGACGATTAGAACTGAGAAACGCGTAGGAAGTGAGAAACACGTGAGAAAGTGAGAAGCAAGAAACGCATGAGGAAGTGAGAAACCCGTGAGGAGTTTTCTTGGTTAGGGCAAACAGGGGGAAATTACAGAAAAACTCCTCCAACTTTAACTTTTTTTAAGGGTAAATATGGCTGTTCACAGTCAAAACAGATTGCAGGTTATAACACGCTCTGGGCCAGGAAGTGCTCCGCTCCCGCAACTCGCTCCAAGCCAAGAAACAGCCGGGATCTCAAACTGAGACGTGGACTGCTACGCCATAGCAGCTGGTCTCCGCACCGCGTCGCTATCGATAACTTTGTAACATATGAAAATATACATTCTGTTAACATGGATGTATACACTATTTTAAAACAGTCTTGAATACACTATTTATTGTTGGTTCAAAAGTCCTTCTTTGTTTAAACTTAGGATGTGCCAGTGGAATATAATAAAATAAATTTGGATTAAATGTGAAATTTTATTAATTAGCATGTCCTACAGGATAAGAACAGTTAATTTAAACCTAGAAAGAAACACCATGCAATATAAGTGACTTTATAGATGAAACTAATCAATGTGATATGAGATATCAATTCAAGAATAATTTCTGCCCAAGTTATATGTTTTGCTTTAAGGATCTAAATTTTGACAAAACAAAATAAGTTTCTTTTTTGCTTTGAAAAAAGCAAGAGAAGTTTATTAAGAGCATAAATGAAGCATGATCCTATCTCAATGTGATGAGTATGTTTTTAAAATGTCATACAAACAAAAAAACCAAACATCAATTACAAAGGAGGATAAAAAGAATTTCACAAGTAACATACCCGTGTTTTGCTTAAGATCCTCAACCGCATCTTTCTCTTCATCACCAATACCTTCCCCATTAGAAGCTGCTGCAGTTCCCTCTAATAGAAAACGAAGGAGTTTTTCCTTAGATAGACGAGGTCCAGCACCAGCCTGATAAAACAATGAATAATGGGTGAGGGGGAAATTGTTTTTCAAGTATAAGTTTTCCGATATTTGACATAATATGCCAATATGAACAATGTTGCTTAAAGTTTTTGTAAATATGACATCAATGGAAGTGGAAAGCTTACGTCATAGTATAACTCAATAAATTCACGCTTGTAATTATTTTCAACATCCCACGAAAGCGGCTGATCTTCTGCAAATACGTTCGATAGCTAAGGGTGTAACATGATTATATACATAAAGCTAGTTGACAGATAATGTGAATACAACATTTCATATAAAAGGATATCATATCAAGGTGATCCGAAAACATGTCAGTCTCGCAGAAATCCTCAATGAAGTCACTGGACATAACCTCCGCATACAGAAGAAGAACAGGCCAATGAAGGATGTTACTTTTGTCTAACACTGGTTTCTTTAACCCAGTAAGTTCTCGATACACGGCCTTTCCAATTTTCAAGCCTCTATTTTCCATTGCAGAAACAAGTTCCTGCACATTTTTTGTTCAAACAAGTACATAAGCCTACCTCCACGTTATTTAAAGTTACATAAGAAACCGGTGTTGTTAAATAACGCTGATGTAGCACCAACATTTATGATAGAAAGTGTGTCTGGTGTCAAACACCAACACATGTGATTTAGTACATAGCAGAATTTAAGCAGATCACTATTGTTCCGCATTATGCTATTTAGTACAAAATATTCAACTAGAGAATATAGAGATGCTATGGCACTTTTGCATGCAACTGAATTTGAACAAACGGTTAGTTTTCGTGATCGACAACACTAGAGAAAACAGATAAAAGCTTTATACCTTTGCATCTGCAACAGCCTTAGAAACTTCAGCCTCATGCTTTTCATTCTCCAATATCTTAATACCAATCTGATTGTCAAGCTTCTTCAAATCCTCGTTATTAGGATCCAAATCAAGACCCATTTGACAATAGTCCTGTGCCTCATCCAACAAATTCAACGAAAAAGAAGCTTTGGCAGCTCTATAAATTGCCTAATCACAATTGAAAATACCATTAAAGCATCAAGCCAAAGAATCACAACAAACAAAGACATAGTGTAAGTACAGTACACACCTTTATATTTGAGGGCAACAACTTGAGTGCATCATTAGCATCATTAAGTGCTCGTCTGAAATTCCCAAGAAGCAAATTCACAAGGGCTCTATTTGAAAAAAGAATAGAGGTCTCAGAATCACCCAAGGCTTTCTGATTGATAGCCCTTGTGTAGCAATCAATAGCATCAGAGTAATGCTTCTTCCCCATCTTCACATATTGGTTACCCTTTTCCTGAAAAAGATAATTGAGAGTGAAATTAAAAGCAAGAGAGGCAAAAGAAAAGAATGTTTATTTAGTGCTATTTGGAAAACATAGATTATACCTTGAGTTCAAAGGCTGAAGACTCTTTGATTGCAGCAATGGCTTCAAGGTCTGCTTTCTCGGTTTCGGTCAAGGGCTCCGAACCCTTTTCCATCCATAGCGCCATCGTTACCTCTTTTTTATTCTTTTGTTGCTCTTAGATAAACAGCTTTAACGGAGTTTGTTTTTGAAGTAGTAGATTTTACGCAGTTTAAGTAGCGTAGTTGAGTTGGAATGGGAAAAAAACACTACCTATGTAGTACGATGAAGTATATATAGTACATACGTTTGTTTTGTTTTGGGTTTTTTGTTTTTTTTTGTTTTTGTTTTTTTTTTTTATTTTTAAATTTAAAATATTAGTAATTACAAAAAAAATTATAATATTTGACTTCAGCTTATATTAATTTTAGGATTTTGATTTTCATAGTTTTAAATATATAAGTTTTGTTTTTTATTTTATAAATTTCTAAATTAATCTTTATATTTTTTCTTAGTTACTAATGTGACATAATTAAATATGATGGGAGATTTATTAATTTGATAAATTAGTGTCATACTATATTACATTTAATATAAACAATAATTTGACAAAAATAAATAAAATTAAAATTGTTTAAGAAATTGGAAAATATATTTAAAAAATCATAAAATTCCTAGTAAAAAACTAAGAGATGCAATAAAATTTATAAAAATGCGGAAAAATAATAAAATTATTTTTAAAAACTAATATACAAATAAAAAATTAAGTAAAAACTAGAATAATAAGTAATTTAATAAACTATACAAATTATTAATTTGAAAAATAAGTTAAATACGGATAATGATATACCTAAGGGTTTGTTTGCTTTAATAGATGGGAGGGGGGAGAGATTTTTATCAAATGGAAAATGAGGGAAAGAATTTGATTTACATATATGTTTTGTTCAAAATATGAAAGGGGAGGTGAGAAATTTTAATTACAAACATATTTGGTTCACAAGGGGATGGATGTATTTTAAAACTAATTTTTTTTTATCCTTGTAATTTTATCCAAAGAATCATGATATTTATCATTCATAATTAAACACAAAATATAATGATATTTACCTATCATAGTTTAAACACAATTTCATTAACGAGATATAAATATTCAATCAGAGAATATCATAAAATATTTTGTAAAAATATATTGATAATAATATACAATTGTCTTGTGCTCCGCGCTAAGTAAAAATGATTTTGATTTGAAAGCAATTATGGTTGTAGCATATGAGATTAGCTTAAACGATGAGCAAACGGGTAACCACAAAAATCTCCAACATCATAAAAGAAGAAGAGAAATTTGATAGAGAACCTAAACTTTTATTATTTTCTTAGGGATAATTATCATTTTTATAAAAAAAAAAATAAAGGTTAATTTTGTCAATATAATAAAATATATTTTAGCATCTCTTCCCTTTCATCCTCTCCCCTCCAAAAAATCTCGATTCGGGTGAACAAGTAATGACTCTAGGAGGGATTCTGATCATCTTCTCTTCTCTCTTCTCCCCTCCTAAAATATTGAACCAAACACTTTTTATTTAAACTATCTCCCCCCCCCCCCCCCCCTTCTTTCTCTCTCAAAACACCCACAACCAACCAAATGAACCTAAAGGATAGTATATAATAACTATTGATAAAGTGATACCTAAAGAGATATATATTCTCTTACTATTCAATATTCCAGAATAAATTGGACCACATGTATTGAAACGAAAGATGCATTATTCATCGCTTAACCTAATTTCTCCAAATCTCCTCCAGCAACCACGTCGCTTTCTGTCATTCCATGGAAATTCCTAGATATCACCACAACAAGCATCTCTAAGCAGCAATCCATCTCTGAAGAAGTGTCGATACAACCTATTATGGTTTATGAAATTTTTTCTGGTTTATGAAATTTCACATAGTTTCAAACCACTTGAAAAATGAAGAACCCTTTGAAAATGATATTTGATTCTTATAAATCTGATTTTAAAAGTTGATAACTCTTTTTCTAGTGTATGATGTTTTATATACACTTCTAAAAACCTATATGAATGAATTTATAGGCTTGAAATGGTTCCATGAAGCTTTGCCATTCAAAACAGTAATTCTGGTTCATGAAAAAACATATTGGTTTAGGTTGTACTCGAATGTAATACACCTATATTCGAGTACAACAATTGTGATGTTTAAGTTTTTTGAAAATTAGCCACCTTATTCGAATCCAGTAATATTGTACTCAAATACAACTTTGCTTTTAGCACTAAAAACAACTTTTTAAGCAGAGATTTCCATGAATTTTTATGCACAATAATTTTAAAAGTTTCTAGGCGAAGTTTAAAGAATATTCATAAGTTCTTAAGTAATATATAAGATGAATGATAATACATCAAAGATAAATATAACCTTAACTATGTTTAATGTTGATCTTTGCCATTTTATCATGATTGATTGTTGTCTTCATCTTTATCATTCATTGTCTTCATCATTTTGCTCTTTATTGATCATTGTTGACTTTATCTTTTTCTTTTTTTGTTGATGTGTTTTTCTTCATTAAGACCCTCGTCAAGATCAAGGAGAGGCCCTTCTACATACGATGACCAGAGGAGTCAGGTTGTTAAAATCCCGATTTAAAACCTAAACTCTATAGATTTCGTGTTTCTAGGTCAGCATTTCGTGTTAAATCGTGGATAAAAATATTTTTATGTAAAATCGTATCCTAAAACAATTTTAAATGACTTAAATCACTCTAAAAACGGTGAAATTGTGTAAAATCGTTAGAATTACCTTTAGCACTAAAAACAATTTTACATTTTTTTTGTCAAATTTTAAAAAGTCCATTTTATATTTTAGCCCATAAATTTGAATTACCTTTATCATCTGGAGATGAATTTAATCAAGTTGAAGATAAGGACACTAACGAAGATGATGTTGTTGAAGGATTAAACTTTCGATTAAGTTGAAGATAAAGATGAAAGCACTTGTTTTTTTTATCACACTTTTATATATATATATATATATATATATATATATATATATATATATATATATATATATATATATATATATATATATATATATGATCTGGAGTGATCAGAATCGATCGCCTTAGTCTTCAATTTAGAGCAGCAACAGTGGTTGTAGAAGAGGAAGGGGTGTACCTGCAAGGTACTCCGATGCCAAAGTAAGTGTTTGGACAAACGAGAAAAAGCAAGTATGAGTGTTTAAGTATGAGTAAGAATGATTAGAATACCTAACCCTCTAAAGAGAGAGGGTATTTATAAGTTTTTCCCCTAACACCGAAATATCTGGTCGGCCAATGGGAGACTTCCAGGTGGGAGATCTAGCGCATGATCTTTGACCTGGTCCAACTGTCTCCGTAACTTTCAGAGGGGCAGTTGGTCGCGTGAACTATCAAGCGCGTGAGGGGCACGTCCCTAACGGCTATATTATGCCCAACGACTATATTATGCCCAACGGCTATGTTGTGCCCTATGGTCGCATTGGGTCTAGCCTTAAGCTAGACTGAATTGGGCCTTGCCCAACTATGGGACAGGTGCTGGTCTAATCCAGAACAGGAGCCCATAAGTCGTTGCTTCGAGGCGAGGAGTAATGACTTGAGTTAGCATAACTTGTGTGACCAAGGGGAAGGAATCGTATCGTAGGGAGGTCTTTGAGATCACTATTTATTGAGTAAAAACCTTCAGGGACGCGCAGGTGCGTAACATTGACATGGTCGATTGTGGGTCACGAGGGACTTCCCCGGAGATGAGAAGTGTGTTTTGTGTCGACCAGACTTGTTCTTAGGATGCATAAAAAGTCGAAGAGGCTCTTGCTCGGATATTGATCCGGTGACGTCGTCGAGGAGAATGTGCTTGCGGGGAAGTGAAGAGACTTGTCTTTTTACAAACACGTGAGGGGTCAGTTTAAGGATTCCAAGTAAAAACCATTTTGTGCCACGTGTGACGAGGCATAAACTTTGTTTAAGGCCTAAGAGGCTAGGAGGTTAGGCAATGATGGCTTTTTTCCCTTTGCGCTTTCCCACGCGAGCAAGGGAGCCTATATAAAGGGGCGCGAGGTTTCATTTCACACCACAAAGATTTATCTTCTCCTTATCTTTCGCTCTACAACACTTTCGTCATCGGAGATCTTGTCGCCGCCGCTGCTGCCTCTGCATCCCAAGATCTTCATCTTCAACCTTTGAATATTCAAGTATGTTCTTCGATTTCTATGAATTTTTGCAACTTGTTCTTGAATTCACCGGTGGTTCATGAATTTTTCGGTTGAAGTTCATGTGTCTCTTGAAGAACACATGAACTTTTCTGGGAAATTCATGAAGGCTTTGTAGAACTTAAGATTAGGGTGTTGTATATCTGTAAATATTCCTAGGTTGTTATGTAGGATTGTTTTATGTTTGTTGTCGGGCAGGGATGTCCTCGTAGCTGAGGGCTTTACTTTTGGATGCCCGACAGGTTAGGGTAGTCGCGGGCTTCTCCCATTTAGAGTCTTTATAAGTAGTGCGGACGTATCCTCAGCGTCGGTGATGCGTCTCGCTGAGACCTCTTGCCGTTGATAAGGGCCTGAGTCGGGGAGACATCCCTGCACCTAATCCTTGCCTTTTCACTTGATTTATGGTGGAAAGGTGGATTTGATCTTTGTCGAATTCACTGTTGCTTCCTCTGCTTTTCAAGTGAATATGATGGTCGTGATGAGGGAACTGTCCCTGAAGTTAGGGTAAATATTAACGAAGATATGCCTTCCGCTGAGTACGCTAATGTGCAGGTGGCTGAAAGAGATCTTAGTTGGATCGTCCAATAGCCCCTTGTAACGAAGTCCACACTTACCGAGAAGGAGGCCAGTAACTTCGATCTCCTCGAAGATATAGCTGAAGATGCGCCTATAAGTTGAAGGGCAATTAGTCCGACGAAGAACGACTGGATATGCTCGGTGTATCAAGGGAGGAGATTTCCCATGTATGAATTCGCCTTTAGGGAAGAGGGGTATCGTTTTCCCTTTACGGATTTCCAGGGGGAAATCCCCCCCCCCCTCCCTCCGCGTGAACTATGTCCTGCCCAGCTTCACCTGAACGCTCTGGCGTTCATTCAAGCATTCAAATTGGTGTGT